AACTTGCTTGGGAATCCCTCCAACTGCCTCCTCTTCAATGAATTCAGGAAAGCTCGTCCAGAAAACAATGACAAATGTCTCCCTCTCCCACTGGCTTTGGTGAAGAAGTTAGTCACTCACTTAAGGTGAAAGTGTTTTAGCTCTAATGTAGATAATCTGTGCAGTCTTTGTTACAGCTTTCTTTGTGTTCCTATGGTGCAGGTAGTTCACTACATGCATCAAAGTGTTAAATCCTTTGCATGATCTTACAATGTCTGACTTCTTTTTGGATAATCACATTTAAAAAAAAAAAAAAAAAAAATCAATCTCAAGCATTCAGAAGCTGATAAATGTGACCCACCAATTGTAACAACCAGACCTGATACTACTTTTTGTCCCTTCTTCTACAACTTGATACCTGGGATTGCGGCCAAACACAAGAGGACAAGAACCTTTGTTTATCACTAACTCTAGGAAGGCCATGTCTATGCCTTGGTTTGCAGCTTGTCTTTGCATCCTGTGCTAGCAATCTGAACTCTCCCCTAAGCTGCACACGCCTCATTCCTTCTGCATCTGCCAGGCAACTACTGTAGCTTCTAAAGTGCAATTGTCCATACTCAAGGGCATGGGCCGCTGGTCCTCTGGAGCACACCAATGATACATCTGCCTGGATTCCAGTAAAATAATACGAGCTCAAAAAGCCACACGTAGTTCATGTGAACCGTAATTCATCAGTTGATTCTGTATATAAATGAGGCTCAGGTTTTGCATATTTTTTTAGTTATACTCCTCACATAGCACATTTTCTTTGTATTCATACAGCATACATAGTGTTTTACCAGATGGCCATCTATTTGCATTGGCATGCCACTGATGTCCTGCAGACGGTAACTATGCACACTTGCATAGACTCAAAGGAAATGCATCATGCTCAGTACCTCACATGATCTCATACCTCAAATAGAATATTTATTTTGTATAAAGTCACTATTATAGTGCCTTGCCAGATGTTCTTCTGTTGTTGTTGTTGCATGTATTCGATGTGCCACCAATTCTCAGCATGCAGTTCAGAAGGTCATGTATCCATCCATCCATCCATTATCTATACATGTAATCCCCACCAGGGTCATGGGGGGCTGGAGTCTATCCCAGCTGACTCAGGGTGAAGGCAGGGGACACCCTGGACAGGTCGGCAGCCTATCATGGGGCTACACTTAGAGACAGACAACCAAGCACACTCACATTCACACCTACGGACAATTTAGAATCACCAGTTAATCACTAGAGAGAACCCACACTGCACGGGGAGAGCATGCAAACTCCACGCAGAAAGATTCCGGGTGTCCTCAGCAGGACACGAACCGGCAACAGAAATGTATGTATACTTGGATTAATTTAAAGGAAATGTGACATGCGTGTCACCACACATAGGGTATTCCATTCCCTATTTAGACAATGACTCAATTTGTTTGCTTCCTCGTAGAGTGCAGGTTTTGGGGTTTGTGATCTCATTGACTTTCTGTGTCATACTTGCTCAGATTGTTCCAGAGCATCATTCGAGCAGTCACTCCAAACACAAATGTAAGTCATTATGAAATAAATAGTTAAACCTGACAAAGTGTCAAGCTGCCTTCATTTTAGCACTCATATACATCATGGAGCTTTGCGCTAGTTCAGGAAGCCATGATGTCAGACAAGTCATATGCCCCATTTCTGTCCAATCGCACACGTCTTCAGTCCACCTCCTTATTAATTCCACCTACTCTGTGTTTGCCACCCACTGCCACATCGGCCGCCACTCCCAGCAAATGTTCTCAGTGGCTGTCTGTGCCAAGCTTGCTCAGATTGTTCCAGGGCATAACTCGAGCAGAGTCACTGCTAAACTAAAATGTATTCCCCCAGAAATAGCAATGTCCAAACAAGCCTTTTAAACTGTAACAATGCCACTTAACCTTGTGCAAAAAAAGGTACATATAAAACATACCTGACTTAAATTTGGCTGCCATCCCCTTTAAAGTAGTCTCCTTTTGCAGTGATACACTGCTTCCAGTGCTCTTGCCACCCTTAAGCGCTCCATGGAAGTCCCATTCTGTATATATATATCACTTTTTCTGTGATGCCCACTGACCCTGGGGTACAAAATGATAGTGCACAACCCTGTATATCTTGAAGAAAATGATGAGCATGTTCCTGACATGATGCATCTTATTTACCTTGGAGACTGTGGGCTGTTCCACTGTGGAGACTGCCTCCTGTTCTCTGGGTTGTACACATGAAATGAGATGTTTGCTGTCTAGTTGTTTAAGGTCCTTTGTAAAATTGTAAATGCACACTGGCCAGGGGTCACAAAAGCCCATGCAACACAGATCTTTATGACGCAGCACTCATGACAGTTTGCACTTGTTGTCCTCTCTCATTTCAGCTGAGTTGGAGAAGGCTGACATTACTAAACTTTGACATGGTGACTTTAAAAAGGTTTTTCAAATTGGAAACAAAACCTTTGGACAAAGAAATTTCTAATTTGAATAATAGCGGGGATAAAATCAGTCTATTTGAAATATATTTTGCTAGTAGCCTTCAAAAAACACCATGCTATGAGCAAGTCACAGTTATAGAAAAAGAAAAAAAGAGATGAGGCAGAGAAAGTGACATATTTAGGAGGCTCTAGAGGATTCCTGGTGATGGTAAACAGCATCGTCTAATATTGTGATATTGTGACCAGTGCATTAGCGGTGGTTTGTGAAGTGAAACGTGTGGTGAGACTTAGAGTCTTACAGGGTGACTGTGGAATGCTACTTTGGTGCCATGAAGTCAGAATAACCCACCAGAAAAAGGCTCTAATGCCACTTAATGGACCATCACAGCCTGAATGTGTGTGTGAGAGAGAGGAGGGGGTTGTTGAGGGCTGCTGACTCGTGGGCTTTTGCGGTGAAGGAGCATTAGTAAATTGAGGGGAAGCATTAGTGAACAATTAGAATTTAACAGTGGGATGTAAAACAGTGGTGGACCTGCGGTCTGCTTCCATTAACAGGGCTGAATAGGGAGAGATAAGTTATAAAGTTGGTTTAGGTATGGCATGTGTGCATGTGTGTATTAGGAGACATTGGAGGGTATGAAATTTGTGTGTGTTTTCCATAGAGGCAAAGGAGGACTGCTGGCATAACAGCGTAACATACTGTCTTGTTCTAACTAATAACGGCAGGGACACGATGCCTCATATTGATGACTTAAAAGATAAAGTGACCACAGATAATGACGTTATCCAGGATTGGTTTTCGCCTCCATCTGCACTTTGGGCAATTTAGCCAAAAACAAAACAGAACAAAAGAAAGATCAATTTAAATTAGGCAAAACTGCTAGCTAATATGTTTGAAAATCTGCAAGAAACTGAATACATTAATGGGTATAACTTACGGAGTAATTGTCCATTTATGTGTTGAGATAAGTAAAACCTATTAGCAGAGGGACAACTGAGTTGTTTTTATTTTTAAAAATGGCTGACAACATCAAGTTTGAGGAAACAATTGTTTCCAGAAACGGTGACTGAAGCAACAATCTACAATGAGTGAATGTCTGAAACAGAGACAAGGAGAAATTAGACAGTTTATTAATAATTCTAAAATTTGACGAGGAAAAGCTACCATCTGAAGTTAATGTAGGGTATATGAACTATAAACTTCGACTCTACACCCCCTGACACTGAGAATCTTTAAATACCAGACACGTGGTCCTATACTGTAGCAGCAAAATGTTAAAAAAAAAAAAAAAAAAAAAGATGTGAATGGTGTACTAATGAACACAAATATGACGAGTATGACAGACAAAGCTGAAGTTAAGAGTCAACTGGTCAGGAGATCATAGGTTTACTTGTAAATGCCAAGCCAGCAGGACAGCAACAAAAATGCCATGAGTTAAAATATGTAAAAGGTATTTCATATGCCACAGCAGCAAGAGAGTATCTGTTCAGCCTAAAAATGAGTACACACACAAGATGCAAATGTGAGCAAAGTAATGAAGATACCCTGATTGTGGACAAAACCATCAAACCATATTCAAACCCTACTCACCACTGAGCTCTGCTTCAACACGATCACTTGAAAAACCCCATGCAGACTAGATTTTGACAATACTTGTTCTTAGGACTGTTGTGTATAAATATATTATATCATGTGTGAAGTATAGTCCTTAAGGTTTAAAATATCAAAGAAGTTGCATATATGCACATAGTCATGAAATGTCTTCTTTTGAAGAAGTTACTTGGGTCTTTTCCTTATATGGTTTCACAGGACAAGCAACAGACGGACGAAAAGAAGTCCATATAAGGATGCAACGATTCAGTGTGATGAAGATGGGCCCCAATCAGTTGTTTTACGACCTGACCATGCATCATGTGATTTAGTAGTAGAAAAGAAGGGTCAGAGGCAACAGGAGTAGTCTTGCTCTGTCTGATGCCAGGGAGAGTTTGACCCAGAGCTCTGGAATGCAATATTCAGTGTGTAATTAAATTGATTGATTGACACCGAACTGAATCCTATCTCATCTTTAGAAACGAACACGCGGAGAAAGACAGTTTTCTCCAATAGGACAAAACAAAATAAAACAAACAAAAAGCTACGGCACCATCACTACCAAATCCAGCTCTAGTACAGTGAAGGTTGTACATGTATTGTTAGGTGTTTTGAACGAAAGCATCTATCAAACGAATGTAATCTAAGGTAGAAAGAAGAAAAGATCAAACTACACTGCTTAAGAAAATACGGAAACACTTCATCATTACACATAACACCAGTTCAACTAAACTTCTGGGATATCAGTCTGTCCGGTTAGTAAGTGAATTGATTCTGAATGAGTTTCACCTAAAATAAAATAAATAAAAGTGACAACAGGTGGACAGGAAAGGCAACAGCAAGACAACCCCCAAAATGGGAGTGGTTTTGTAGGTGGTGGCCACAGACCATGTTTTTCTCTCCTTATCTTTCCTGACTGATATCTGTCTAGTTTTGCATTTCGCTAGTGCCCTTATGAATGCTGGTAGCACTAAGCGGTACCAGCAGCTCATTCAAGTTGCACAGGTAGTCCAGCTCTTTCAGAATGGCACATTTCCTGTGTCTCCTGGCATGGTCTTAAGATTGTGGAGAAGATACCAGGAGACAGGCTTTTTTGAGCGAAAGGTGATCAGCTACCTTTGAAAATGGCTTGAAGTGCCTCGTAGCCTGAGCAACATCAAGCTGTATGGAAACAGCAACAAACTCAGACTTCCTTTCAGCTCAGTCAGGGAGGAATTCATCGTTGCAAGCACATTGGAACATCAGTACACCAAATCCAGAGACAGCAAAGTGTCCGGGGCAGGGATTATCGTGAGGACGGGGAGGAAATGGAGGGTTGCAGAAGCAGTGCAACAGGCCGATTCCCGGCTACAGCACAGAGCCATCATTGAGACTGTGGCGCAAGGTAGAGCTGGAATTGGAAGCCAGACAACACCATTATATGGCTCTGCCAGCTGGAAGGAGAGTCAGAAGCTGGTGCTGGAGGAAGTCCGTGCTTCTGTGAAAGAGGAGCAAACAAGCAGAGCTGTGGCAATGCGACAACAGGGTGCCTGGACGAAGTGGGAACAGGCAATGGAGTGCAACATCACGTGGAAGGACATCTGGAAGTGGAACCCCCAAAGGATCAAATTTTTGATCCAGGGGGTCTATGACGTCCTGCCCAGCCCTTACTACCTGTTCACATGGGGCAAAGCAGAAAAACCAGCATGTCTCCTGGGTTCCAAAACAGGGACACTGGAACACATCCTGAGCAGCTGTGCAAAAGCACTGAGTGATGCTTGCTATCGCTGGAGGCATAACCAGGTCCGAAAGTCCATCACCAAGGCAGTTGGCAAGGGGATCTGTCAGGGAATGGTGGTTTTTTGCCCCTGTGTTTTTGTTCTCCTCCAGGTGTCCACCAGAGGGCGTCCTGGAGGAACTCTCCATTGACTGATTCCCTGCAGGTGTGTAGCTCACACACCTGCGATTCATTTGGGTCGTCACCACGTGTATAAGAGGAGCTTTAACCATTCACTCTTTGCCTGAGTGTTGCCCTACATGGCGACTTCTAGCCACCACCCAAGTGTTCCCTTCATGTTTCCCTCGTGTTTCATCTGAGCCTCCCTCCGTGCCTTTTCCGAGTTTTCAGTAAGATCGCCTTTTCTTCGTTGAGGATTTTTCCCATGTTCCCGCTCCTCGTCTTGTGCTTCCACCTGTACCAAATCTGAGTCTTCTCCGTGGCTTCCTGGACAATCTGCTCATTACCGGTACACCCTCGCCTTGTTTTTTTCAATCCCATCATTTTCACCTCAGTTTTTGCAATAAACCTAATTTTTCCTATCTCCACGCCTCCTGAGTGTCATTCTGCATTTGGGTCAACCTGCCCAGTTCCCCGTGACAGGATCAAGGACAGCAAATTCAGCCAAGTTCCACCTAAGGCAATATGCTTTCTCAAGGAAGGCCAGATCCCCAAGAAGAAAGCCAAGAACCCCTCTATCAGTATGCTAGCGTCAGCCCAGGACTGGACAATGTCAGTTGACCTAGAGAAGCAACTGAGGCCACATCTCGGAGGCCACAAAGCAGCTAATTATGATGGAGCTGACTGTGCCCTGGGAGGAGAGAATGGAAGAAGCCCAGAGTGGAAGAGGGGAAAATACCAAGACCTGGTGGAGGGCTGCTGGACCAATGAATGAAAGACAAGGTACATGCCAGTGGAGGTGGGCAGCAGGGGATTGGTAGGCCATTCCCTACACAAGGCCCCCGGAATCCATGGAATTACTGGAGAGAACAGGAGGAGAGCCATTGGCAAAAACATGGAGGCAGCAGAGAGAGCATTCAGGTGGCTCTGGCTAAAAATGGGGGAGCAGTGAGGACAGCAGAATGCCACTTGGACACAGGCTGAGGCTTAAGCAACCTCAGTTGGGTTGCCTGGACAAGGGTGTCTGTTGTAAGACCCGAAACACCCAGTGACTCCAGGAAACAGCGCTGATGATGTGTCCAAGTGTATGTATGTGAAGGGATGCTTTTATCACATGGGTTCAAATTCAAGCGCCTTAAGTTGATGCACAGCATGGAGACACATTCACAAACAGAGCAAGCTCAAATCCATCAGAAAAACTAAATTGCAATGGATAATTAGCTGGATGACAAGCGTGGCAGCTTTCTGTCTTTTAGCAGGCATGACAGTTATTAAGTGGCAGCCTGATCAGATGATGTCAGTGAATTCAAATAAAACACACACTTCACTTATCCAATGTGAATGCACGACACAGAACACAGATTTGGGTAGAGGGGACTTCTGTATCACACAATGCTTCCAGGTAATAGTAGCTCTGTGAGTACAGGCTAAATATATATCCCCAGGGGGTGCCTTCAGTAAATTTACTATTTTGGGCCAATTTTCTTTTCTGTGAATGAGCATAAACAAACTTTTATAACCCATGTAATGGGCTGCAAATTGTTGTAAATTGTATCTGTGGTTTTCTAATAAACACTGTCAGCAGTGTTGATATTTTTAGTTATTCATTCTGCTCCAGACAAATCCTTAAAACATGTCCGACATCAAACTGAGCCTACTAAATGAAATCACCTGAACTGGGTGCTACACAGACTTATTCAGTAAAAACCATATATCAGCCAC